TTAAGCTTGATTAAACCGCCAATTTAAGCAATGGTTAACTGAAATGAATTGCTACTTACGGAGCTACATGACTGCTCACAAGGGTAAAATATATCTTCCAAAATCTTCTTTCTTTCATAACACGTGGGCATAATTCATATCTCAACCTCGAAATTTCCTGCAAGAAAGTAATCAGTAATAACTAGAACACATTAGTACATCGTGCTTTGATTTGGGTGCACAAAGGAAAGAATTTATGCAGAGATGTAAAACACTTCAACTACTTGATTCACAAAAGAAACAAAAAAAATCAACAAGTACAGAAAGATATCAATACAATGTTACAACACTTTTCTTCAACATCTTGTACGATATATCCGCAAATCAAATTTCGAAATACACCTCACATGTATTGCATTGAGCTTAAACACTGCCCGTATTGCGTTGAATCAAAATTGAAACTGATAGAGAAACACGAACTGACCTTAACAGTAGTGAGAACGAAAGTGGCATGCTTCTCTTGCCACTCCGTCAGATCTTTCCTCACATTCGAGGCCGTAGTCGGCAACTCGGAGACTTCCTCTGCTGCATCTGAAACAACTCGAACAACGCACATTTGCTCATTTCAAGTAATTGAGCTAAATCAAAAAAACAAATGAGCTGAAATTAGCAAATACCTTGGATCGGAAAGTGCTTGAAGGTATCGGAAGTGAGTCCCTTGACGAAGTCTCTGAGATCGTCGGTGATTCCAAATTTCTTGAGTTCAGACGGGGACGGCGGCTCAACGGCGGAGGCAGAGGCGGAATTGACGATCGAGAGCGAGGAGAGCTGAGGGGGGATGATCTCAGAGACGGATAGGGACTTGATCTGATCGGCTTGCTTAAGCGCCGCCGTTTTGATCTCGTCGGCTTTCTTCGACGCCTCGGCCGCGAACTCGCGGGATCGCTTGGCGGTTTCGGAGACTAGGTCGGTGATTTTGGCGGAGTTGGTTAGGGTTTGAGATTTCTTGGCTGCTTCTTCAGCGAAACTCTTCGCTCGCTTCCATAAGTCTTCCATTGTTAGTCCCTTTTTCGATCGTTGCTTTCGGATTGGATTATTTGCCTGGTTTGTCCCAGTCTTACTTAGCTACTCTGTTTCTCAAGATTTAGCGGAGACGGTGCACCGTGCACCCCACGACGTCGTATTGTTTGCATTTATCTTTGAAAGCGCGCTGCCCACGCTAGCTATTAAACGCCTGTCGTTAACTTACCATATGTACCCGTCGTTTTCTTACTTCAATTCTTTTCTCTTTTTCCGTGAATATGAAATCATTTAAGAAAATCTGTTGTAAAATGATGAGAGTGGAGCCCACATCTTGGAAGGAAATTCTCTTACACCTAACTTCTCTGATTATTGGGCTAAGCTTTGCCAATAAATGGGTTCACAATCCCTTTCGTAATACAGATTGAATAAGATTTGAGTTATAGGAATTGATCCTATATTTTTTCTGTCTCTAAATTCTCTCCACAATCTCTTTAGCTTTTGTTTTCAATAGTGAACGCACATATAAAATATAGTAAATTTGGCTTACACCCTTCAAATTCAATTTGCCATACCTAAAACCCTTCACTTTTTGTTCCTATAAATAATACCCAATTTGTATAAGTAAAAACCCATGACTATGATCCAACTCAGCAAGTTACCTAATTAAGCATAAAATCTGA